CCACAAAAAAGAAAATACATTTAGAACTGCGAATTTGCCTTGAAGTTCAAGGCAGACAATTTTCTAATTATTTTGGGCGTGTTTTCGAGAGAATGGGCCGCTTTCTCGCTAAATTTGAGAACCGAAAACGGAAAAATCGAGAATTTTTCGGTGACAAAGCTAAGTTTCCTAGAGAAGAAAGTGAATCCGATTTGTAAAATTGGTGAGTCCAGGGCCACCCAAACTGAAAGAAGTGTAGGAATAGCAGTCTCCCTAACTCATTGATGAAAAATTTTCGATTTTTCAAGACGAAATTCTAGAATGTTACTGTTGTTTCGAAGAACTTTTCGTGTTCTCCTCATCAGGTCTCGAAATCCGATCGACTCCCTCCTAGTAAAAAAAATTCAATTTTTTTCGAAAATTTGTTTCAATTTTGTCCTTTTTCCCTCGCAAAATTGACAAAAAAATGCTGTAGTTTCCGTAAAAATTTGTGTACATTTTTCAAAAAATTCCCTAATTGATCATACAGATCGTCGGTCCTCGCTCAGCTCGAAGGCTTATGGGCAACCGTGTTCGTGAGCGAAAAAAATGAAAGATTCTGAAGCTCATTCAGTAAAATTTGCTCGAATTGGGTTGTATCACCACTCTTACTTTTCCTAATTTACGCAGCCTTGGACATATTCTATTCTCTTTTTAAGAGAACAAAAATTGTGAGGACTAATCATTCTTCGATGAAAATTTTGACTACTGTGAATTAAATTTTTGAAACGCTGGGGCACCGCCCGGGCATCGGTCATTTTCTGGTTACGCCACTACATCAAACGTTCGAAATAGTTCTTCTGACCATTTATATTAAATTGCATTCGTTTAACCGATTTATCGAATTTTTTTTTTTGCGAATCATGTTTGATGAGCGAGTCCATAATTTTCGTCGCAGCTCGCTGCAAGGCATAGTTGGCATCGGACTGGATGGTTGAAATTCTTCACTTAACTGGCGAAAAACTGGTGCGTTTGATAGATCAATCAAGAAATCAGTTCTAAGAACATATACAATGTAAAACTCATATAATGCTTGGAATTTCTATTAGTAACTTGGGGAATTTCCATTAATGAAAATATACTTTATAGTCTTTCGATAGATATCAGAAACGATGAATGTCAAAAAAAATATTCTGTGAACAATAAAAAAAATATCATATTAACATTTTATAAAAAGACTAACTTGAGACGTTGTATAGTTTCCAGTTATCGCGTTTGCTGTGTACCGAAAAAACTATGAAGTATGCTTTCATGCATAGAAATACACAATTTCGTAGAGAATTAAACGATGCATTTTATTGTTTAAAAAAACATTTTTTCGAAGCGACGAGAATAGACTAAGATATTCAAAAATGCTAAGACTTTCATTCATTCTACCGCACTCTTTTTGTTGTGTTCTCGTCAATCTTCTTCTCAAGAAGTTATAGCTCTGCGTGACATAATTAAAAGGGAGAATATGAAATATTATACGAAGCATCTCTGCTGAGGGTAACGATCACACTGCCTACATTTGCTCGTATAACATATTTATTTAACATGCAACACTGTTGTATTGTTAAAATTTTGTCCTTTCGTTATTATGTCTGCATGTATATAAATGATTTATTGTGAGAAACTTTGTGGAACTCATTTATGTTGCCGAAGAAGATAGTAAATATAAATTTAAATCGAAGTTTTTACGGGTCCCAACTCCCCACTCCCCTCCCCCTCTCACCTTCTTCACTGCAAAACTAAACAACTAGGATTAAAAATGCTGAACGATATTAATAACCAGGTTTAGAAGGTTCTAGAACATTCCAGGACCTTCCTTGAAATTTAAATGGTTGAAATACGTTTATCAATATTGTAAATAATGCAGTTCCCAATTTTTACGCAGATAAACGTAGGTGTGGGTGTCGGTGGGAAGCGTGACTGTATGTGGTTGCGGTTGTGTGTCGGGCGTCGGTGTGGATGGGGCGTGAGTATGGATCTAGACGTGGAAGTAAGATAGACCCACATCCACCCCCGCCCCACTCACATTCACGCACTCACACTCACATCCACACCCTCAGCAATGAATGACATGGAATCTAAACGAATAGATGATAGAGAACTTTAAAATTTAAAATTTAAATTAAAAAATTAAATTGTAGTTTTGTTTTTTTGTTTAAGAGAGAAATAAATAAAAATCATTTAGTTTTATTTTATCTCGTGCTACTAGAAAAGAACGTAAAAAAAACGAAAAGAAAAATGTGAATAACAGAACTGTATTAACTCTATAAACTGTGTGATGATGTCTTGTCTTTTGAATGACCGATCACTATTATTTAAATATATACACATATATGCATACATCAGCACTTTATATTTCTGTTCTCATTTTTGTAATTGTGACAAATGAAATGGCGATGTATTAACAGGCCTTAGGGCATTAAATTTCTTTCAAATAAATTGCACAAGATTATTAAAATTCTTTTCACACTTTGATTGATTATAGATACATATATCCGCTTGAGCGCGTAACGCGTAACTTCAAGGACGGCGATATTGAAATCAACATTTTAAGGGGGGTCCCCTCCCCCCCCCCCCCCCCTGGTTTGTTGATATGTTGTAGAGCTCGTCGAGTTACATATAACCTGAAATTTTTTCGTTTTTTCGACTTACGGTTACCGAGATATTGAATTCACAACTTTCATTTTTCCATAGGAGTCCAGCAGAAAGAAAAAAAGTATTTTGAAAAAATCTTGCCAAGTGTCCTGCAAAGAGGAAGCATGGGACAGTATAGGTCCTGGAACAAAAAAGATGCGTAAGATTCTTTTTCATGTTAATGGGAAAATTTCAAGAAAAATGCGTAATATTATTTTTTATAGTTATTAATATTCATATTTCTTAATAATTATGAAAATACAGATGTAAATAAAAAATCTAGCTCGGTTATCCTATGAAAAAGAATCTTACGCATCTTTTTTGTTCCAGGACCTATACTCTCCCGTGCATCCTCTTTGCAGGACGCTTGGCAAGATCTTTTCAAAATACTTTTTTCTTTCTGCTGGACTCCTATAGAAAAATGAAAGTTGTGAATTGAATATCTCGGTAACTGTAGGTCGAAAAAACGAAAAAATTTCAGGTTATATGTAACTCGACAAGCTCTACAACATATAAAAAATCTCGAAAATGAGGTAGGGGTGGGGATCCCCCTTAAAACTCCTTATGCCATCTTGTAAAGCGTAGTCTATAGTGCATGGAAACATATTTTGTTTCATTAATAAGTCCTGTAAATCGCATTTAGTAATTGGTAAAAGAGAAGTCACTAATATAGAGAGGAAATTTCTCTATTTAGGCCATTGATTAACCTGACCCGTATAATTGAAACAGCACGATAGATACAAAGTTGATTAATACCAATTAAGACTATGATAACAGATGTATCTTTTGGCATAATATGTGATTTTTTTATGCGTCATAGTTTTTCGTAGCGAGGTTAATGAAAACTATCCTATTTATAACGTCATCGCATAACGAAAAATGTGTATTGTTTATTTTTCGCCAATTCGTCTCAACCTTTTTTTGAACACAAATATATACTTAAAGCTAGTTTTTTATGGGCTTTCTGATGCGTGTATTCTTATCCCAAAAAGATTCCATTTTATAAAAATTTTACGTAACGCGATGACGATTTTTACCTTTTTTTCAACGTTTTTCCCATTTGTGAGAGAAAATTGTCAAATCATGTTTTATTATTCAAGAATCATTGTAAACTATAACTAATGAATTCTTTTTATTAATTACTGATAAATTGCCATAAGAATATATTAGCTCGGTCTAATAAGTCGATGATTTTCAGAGTAAAATTAAGTTATCAATCAGAATCGTTTATAGTTTCTATGCTATATAATTATTTGACTAGAGATGATTATATTTATATATAGTGGAAATATGTTTTATTTGAATTTGACTTAAAAAAATAGCATTCATACATATATATGATAAATTATTTCTGTTTTGTAGGCTTACTCTGCCTCATTCTTAATAAAACTGATAGCTTTCTTTAATAATGTTTTAATTGAATAGTTAAGAGCTTTTTATATCATATTCAGTGAATATAAACAATTGTTACACATATTAGTCAAACTAATTTAGTCTTTCTTCCGAATTCTTGTATTAGATAGTTCAATATCTACAACATGTAACATCTGTATATTGTGATCGTTAATATCAAAATAAGGTCTTGCCTTTACACAGGTATAAATATGGTAAAGTAAAGCGTATAAAAAAAATGATTACAAAAGTCAACGTCATCGCGTTACGATAATTAAACTGATCCCTCTTCAACATTATATGCGTATTTTAAGAATTTTTTTTTCCGTTCGATGCCTCAAACTCTCGGCTACAAAACGTCTATAGGATGTTTCTTTTAATATAGCACACATTCGGCAGGAAAATGAAGAACAAACACATCACCCTGAACTTTTTGTCCTTTTTTCGTCATCGCGTTACGTCATCTATTTTTGCTCTATTTTTCAAACGGCTCATATGTTCAGAAGTTTTGGGGAACACAGAGATACATCTTCTAATGAAAGAACGAGCTTACTAGGTAATATGATTGCTAAGCAAAGTTAATAATTCTGTGGCCAAAACGTCATCGTGTTACGCTTGTTCAAGCCGATATATATATATACATGATTAAACTATTTATGAGAAAAAGTATTATTGAATATCTTATGAGTCATTCAATCAAATCATCTAAAATATTTTCAACAACCGTCGAAGTTATACAAAAATCAGAAATAATCTTTGTTACTTGAAATAAAAAATGACTTAAAAAACACATATTCATTTCAACTTTATTTAGACAAAAATTGAATCTATATACATATAAAATCATGATAATCTAATCTCTACAGATTCTTCATTCTTGCTAACTGTAACCTTATGTTCATCCATAATATTAAAATCAAATGTTTCGCGACGTTTATCAACAATATAATTATGTGAGAAAGGATGATCGAGTGATGAAACTTGATTATAATAAATTTTAAGATAAGACAAATTTTTTAGATGACTAAGTAATATATCAATAACACATATACAATCATCGAATGAAAGCACTTGAAGTACAATATCAGTAAGTGATGAAAAACGTTCAACAAGTTTTGATGCAAAATTTGAAGGAACACAATCATTTTCTCTTATTGATTTGAGTATTTTAATTTGTTTGAAAATTGAAATAAGAAATTGATTATCGATGAATTCTGATAAAACTAAATCTGCAGGATTAATTTGAAGATCAATCACATTTGGACATGCTCTAAAACAGAAAAATAAAATATACTTAATATATATTTATATTGATTGCCAATGATTATTATTCTACAGAATTCAATATCATCTATCTGACATAAAATGAAATTATTCATTGAAAAGAATATATTAAAATTATCAAAACAAATCACTCATCGATTTAGAAATCGAAATAAGAAAATAAAAATGACTTTCAATCAATGTCAAATATATTTACTGTAGAATAAATTGAATATCTTTCCATAGACCTGCATAAACACATGACTCAAAGTTAATTTGATTTACATTGGGTAAATGAACAATATGTGAAAGATAAGTACCATATTGCTGTGAAACATCATTGTCATTTGATTGAATACAATTCACTAAAAAAAAAACAAGATAATGAATAAAAACGATAGAAAATAATCAAATCAAATTTGTCTATATATGATAGAAATCGAAAATATTCAGTTGAAATAAATTGAAAGTGACAAATTCATTTTCATCAACTGAACTATTTAATTCAAAAAAATATGTATTCTTCTTACCAATATTATATGAATTGTTCGACCATGATAAATAAAATTTTGGGTAATAATATATGACGAGATATTTGATATGTTGAAATAAAGGAACAGAGGAAGTAATTCTTGGTCTTATCTCTCTCATGTTTAATTTTAAATATTTTGTGTCTGAATAATAAAGATAATGATCATTTGTTGTTGCTTTTGTTGATCGTGTCTCAAATGATTCATAACTAATCATTGGAATGGTTATATGTATGTTTCTTTTGTATTTCTGATAACCAAACGTGCGTAATATAACAATCTCTTCTATAAGAAACAAACCGTATGTTAAAAAAAAATTTACTTTCAGGATAAACACATTCTCATAGGCGAATTAAATCTTCATTATCACATAATTGGTTGTCTGTACATTGCTTTTGATATTTAATAAATATTCCTTTCCTCGTCCTATGAAAGTCGATTTTTGTGAAAGGAAACTATTGTAAGGTAGATAGATAGTTGTAAAGCCTGAGACACCGGACTTTCAGAGTCAATCTGATAGTTGGTTGATCTATTATTTTTGTGATAGGTTTTGAATATTTTTTTTCCCCTTTGTCTTAAAGAAAAGCAATCCTTGTCTCCAATGTAGTTAAATATATGCCGGTTACAAATAAAAACATGTTTTTTTGCCTATTTCTATATCCCGCAACCTAGAATTGTCGAGGGAACTTGATTTTAACTATTGTCCATTTCAGAGTTAAATGGCCGTGGGTATTTTTTGAATAACTTTTCATAGGAACTAGATAGAGACCTGCGGTTTTCACCGTTGAAAAGAGAAGATGAAGACGCATCGAACCATATATAGAAAGATCTTTCTGACAACTTTTCTAACGGTTTTATATAAAACTTCAAAAGAACCAGCATGCCTCTCATGGTGACAATATTAATTTATTGATTTTCAGGAGTGTACTAGAACCGCCAAACAAAGAACGACAAAACCATATCAAGATTCTATTCCTAGCTACTATCAGTAAGATATCCAAACCATCGGAGACACAATTTACCACCTCATTTTTTTCAAGAAAATAATCGAAAAACGTAGAAGAAAAAAGAAATTCTTTGAAAACGTTTGACTAAAACCTTTAGAAAAGTAGTTCGAAATATCTTTTGATATGATTCGATGTGTCTTCATCTGCTCTTTCTAACGGTGAAAACTGTAAGTCTCTATCTCGTTCCTATGAAAAGTTATTCAAAAAATGCTCACGGCCATTCAACTCTGAAATGGACAAAAATTAACATTTGTCTTGTTCGAAAGGACATGTTTAACTGCAAAACCCATTTCTTGGATTTAACTAATATTTTTATCATATTTGAAAGCACGTCCATAAAAAGACTCCCATTTTTATGGAGTAGTGGAACTTCTGCGCTCTTTCTTTCGTATAAGATGTAACAATAAAAAAAAGAATTTGTCAAGGTGTCTAGACAAGTCACTTCTGTCGAACAAGAAAGCAAATTATTGTTTAAGTTAATCAGTGATAGAGAAATATGGACTACCAAAAGAAAAAAGCTATTTTTATCTGTTTTTTGATAAGTATCTCATGAATGTGTAATCCTACTGAGCTGGGAATCGTAGCATAGCCTCTTCACTAGAGCCTCAACCTGAAGCTATTTTCATCTTCTGGATATTTTTGTATTTCTGTACATAGTCTGTAATAAGATAAAGACAGTATATAGACTGAAATTCATCTCCTGATTGCATTTCTATTTGACGCCGGGTTTTCTGTATTCTTTCTTTCCAATTTTACTTACCTAGATGGTTGTCAGCAGATTCCCATCGATCAATAATCATATGCCATTTGAGGTATTTGTTAACGAAATATTGAAATGAATTTATGACTATGTCTAAATCTAATTTTGGATAATTTTTCTCTATTGAGATATGAAAATCAAATTTAGATAAAAATGGAGTATACATTTCAAACATATGTTGCCATGTATAACCGTTGACCAAATCATCAGTAAACGACCGAGCTACGGTTCGTGTCCCATAAAGAAACTTAAAACGATTAAGATTAGGCATACAACGTAAGATATAAGCGATTGAATGAATGCTACATTTAAGAAAAATTGATAAATCGAATGATGTCACTTGTGGTGATATAGGAAGATCATTTTCATTAATATATAATTCTTGCATTGAAGCACTAAAAGAAAAAACGGAAAGATTATATTTTTTTAATCGTGTTTTATAAAGAATATTCGTTGGACATGTTTATTGCAACTTACTTGAATTTATAATTTTCAGATAGAATTTCATGTTTTATAATGACATGTAGATATCGTATTCTATCACAAACACGAAAAATTGGCAAAATTGAATAAACTGATACTGTCTTCGTTAAGCCAGACAGTAACAAATCAAGTGATGTAAGATTCGTAGCAATTGAATTATAAGTTGATATGTCCGAGTGATCATAATCATAATAACGCCTAACGGAACGAAGAGAAGATGGTTTGTTCATCGATAAAGTTCGAGTTATATCACATTTGCCTTTCTCATTGGTTTTTTTATAATTTGGTTGTATGATAAAAAATGCAACAAGCGTATTCAAACTTTCAACTTGTCTAATAACATTTGCAAGTATAGTTGATGAATTATCCAACATAAATATACATGATTGAAGATTTACAAAATGATGTCGATTAAATAGTAAACTAATAATAGATGAACGATCACGAATTGTATCATAACATTTTAGTGATATGACTTGATCAGCATGATAAGTAAGATGAGAAGAAAGAAATTTTATTTCTCGATCATAATTACTGTCTAAGATGATAACATGAAGTCGAATTGATTGTAGAATAGACAAAATTCGTTTATTTAATGAAGCAAAAGCAGTAAATATATCAAGTGCATGTAAATAATCAAATATTTCGAAGAAAATTTCAGTTGATAAATCTTCTAAACATGTATATGTATCCATTTGAATAAATGACGAGAACAAAATATGGTTATAATCAGATGATTCAGTTTCTGATGTGTAAAGAATGTATCAAATGATAGAGCAATTGATAGATAGTATGTTATTATATACTCTATAATAAGCAGTCTATGAGCAATATGGACGGCATAATAAAATTAAAAAAATGAAATTGATGATCGATTTATCTTTATATGTGAAACAAAGACATTCAGAAAAGATATGTTGATGATATGAACTCGCCTAATTATTTTTTCTCTTCATTATGTAATCTTGAAAAGAAGATGAGTGATGAAAAAAGAAACAAGTGAACTTCTTTGGATAGTACTACAGCAGTGAACAATAATCTGATCGGTAGAAAAACTGATTATTTTCAGCGGAAAGATGTCGTTCAGATCAAAAATGCGATCTTTCATATCAAGAAAAATATAACAGCAGTACCGGACTAGTCCACCTATTCATGATGCATATCGATCTAAAGATGAATCAATAAACACATACATTCCATTTGGAAAAATGAAAATCCATCGGAATAATGCATGAATGCAGCGAAAAAAATATACGAGAGCAGCAGAAAAATGGTTCCTATCAGTGAGAATAATACTATATAATAGCAGAAAAATCTTTTTCAGCTATTCGTATTTACATATATACATACATTCCCATCAGAAAAATAAAACTTCAGCGAACACATTGCATGAATGTGATGGAAAAATGCTTTAGTAGTGTAGAGAAATGCTTGTTATTAATACGAAAAATGATAGAAAAAGACGAGAAATGTCTCTTTAGACATATGAATGTTAATGTTTATATATTCATACAGGATGAAGAGAAAAACGGGTACTTCTTCAGATCAACGACACCTCCTCGTATTGGTTGAACAATAAACAGGAAAGAAAAATTTTCCTTTCCTGTTTATTGTTCAACCAATACGGGGAGGTGTCGTTGATCTGAAGAAGTACCGAAAAACGAATATGGTTCATTATCACAGTACTGTAATGCGATTATATATATGATTCTTTCCGAACTGAAATGCAGAGGAAAACACTAGTTTTTTTGAAGAAATCTGAAGCAAAATCATTTAGTTTCTTCCTCTATTACTATGTCGCGAAGCGAACAGTGAAGAAAAGATCAAAAGCTGATTGGTTTATCGAACTCATAGGTTTCTTGATTGGTTAGCTACCACACCCATATTCACTATTTACGTACTAAAGGGTGTGGGTGTGGGTGTGGGGTGTGAGTGTGGGTGGGTGTGGATGTGGGGGAAGGCAGAGCCATTACATTTATTAACACCCACACCCACACACCTACCGCACCCGCACCCCACACACCCTTTGTCGGTACGTCTGTATTACGTTTACTAATTAGATTGTTCTTGCTTATGTGAAGTTAACTTAAATTAGAATAGTTAGATGCACCCAGGCGAGCAAAGGACGGGTAAAAAGACTAGTCTCATATCTAGTCCTGACGGGACGTCCTGTATAGTCTTTTTCTCAAATCGGACTATACCATGACTAGTCTGGAAAAAGTTGTCGCCCATAATACCCGTCCAGACTATGTTACTGATGGGCGTCATTGGCTCTGACATGTCTAGTCTGTTTCACTAAAACGACCCGTCTAGGACTAGTAAGAATCACTAATAGGTGGACTAGTCCTGTAGGAGGACTTTTTAAGAAAAAGATTAGTCAGGACGGGTAACAGCGACACCACATAGAACAAGTTGTAGTCTTGTGTAGTGGACGAGTTCGGACTAGTCTAAATGAAAATGTGTAAAGATGAACGTTAGATTCGAACATGCATACAATGTGTTACTTACCCATCGTTTAGACCATTGAGTCATATGATCAGCAGATCAACTCTACACATACATAATCATTCTAAGATGCTATTTAATATAATTTTATTCCACGTTTTTGATGTTCGCATTTAAGTAAAAAATTATCGTTTACAAAATAGGTCATTAATTAAACAACACTAGATAAAACAAAGTCAAAAAAATTTATATTTTTTGGATAAATATTTTTTATTACTATTAAGTAGGAATAATTAGTTATGCTAAAAAAATTAATTTTAAATGCAAAAATAAAAAACAATTTATATTGAAAAGAAACTCGATTTTTCATATCATGATTTAGTTTACCTGAAAATTTAAATCATCGTGTCTTCAGCTAAGTATTAAATTAATTTTGTTTCAATTAAATCTACTTTTAAATTTAAAAATTTATTAGAACTGATATTTAAAGCAGCAATTATGGTACAAAAAGATTTCAATTATTTTTTAGCTCTTTTTTTAAATTTGGTACATCTAATAATTTTAAAAAATATAAGTTAGCACTCCTTGTTGCTTGATAACTATTGTTTTTTATAGCTACTTCCACTTTTTAATGTTTTGATATACTCTTATATATTTTCAATATATGAAGATACAAAATATAATAATATATATCAAGGCAGATAGGAATGCACAAAGTATACTATCTATCTTTGATTTCACTATTGGCTATGACAGACTTTCTGATTGTCGTTCTAGAAAGAGAAAAAACCTAATAATACTAGTGACAATCGACATAATTTTAATACAGGATAACAATGCATGTTATTAATCTCCATAATCATAATACAATAGATCATGCTTAGTTATCAATTTACGAAAATCTGAGTACACTATAGGCAATAAAACGGCTGCTATTCTGTTATCTAGTCCAGATTCTAAATGCATATGATTATCCATCGATCATTATTAACAAATGATATAGATGTTGAAAATTTTTTCTACATACTACTTCTTTTCTTTCCATTATTCATCAGTTTAAACGACTTTAGAGGATAATTTAGTCTAAAGAAAGTGACTTGATTAGAGTCTTTCAGACTAGTCTGGACCAGGATGAATGACACTCTTTAGAAAAGGACTAGTCTTGGCGAGTGAAGACGACGCGTCGGTATAGTCCTAACTACTATCGAAGATGTTCCAGACTAGTTAAACTCGTGTGACATCGACTGGTTTCTGATTGTTTACGGGATGGAAAGGAATCAATTTTGTATTTTAGAATGTAAATGGGCGTCAGTTCATTCCAGTGTCCTAGTCTCCCGTCAGGATGATCGTCAGGTTTCGAATACTGTCGGGTTGGATGTTCGAATTCACCGTTTATCTTCTTTTTTTAAAACGCGGACTAGTTTGGACGGGTTCACTGGACAAAACGGACCAGGCATGACGGGGTTGGAAGACATTCTAGACTAGTCCAGATGTGTTCGAAGGAGATTTCTCCTAAAGGTGACTAGTCATGTCGGATGTGCAAGACGTTTCAGACTAGACCTGACGGGTATTGCGGACATTTCGGACTAGTCATGTCGGCCGTCATGCATAATTTTTTGCTTACTTGGGCAGGTAGGGTGTAACGAATAAAGCATATTGCACTGGATGATGGAAATGAATTACAAAGTAATTCAAAAAAATTGAATTATAAAATAATTCGAAATTTTTTATTCTCTACCAGGACCTCCAGGATCTACCAGGATCTCTAGGATCTGCTGGGGTTTACTAGGGTCTACTACGGTCTCGATGTGGGTGCCACGAAACAACTTACATCATCTGTCTTTTGGTGTGGGTGCGACGAAACGCCTTACATCACGTCTCCTTCGATTGGGGTACCGCAAAATCCCAGTAGCCTCTGGTAGATCCTGGAGATCCTGCTAGACTTTGGTATATGAGAATAAACTTCTTATAATTACACGCATATACTGCTATAAATATTTAATATAGAAATTTTGAATTATTTTGTAATTCATATACGTCATGAACTCGCATATTGTTACAGAAATAACTTATAATCTTACTTGACGATTTCAAAGAATCATACAAGATTTTATTGCCGGAGCATATAAGAAACTTGATGTAAGACTTGACATCAGATTTCTGAGACAACAATTTTTCGTATGATTTTCCGTATGATCTCGTATGATCATATACAATAGTTTGTAAGAGCTGATAGAATCATACAAAAATTCATCACCGATCTCTCTATATGATTTCTCGATGTGGAAACCTACGACTAAGTTACGACCATATACGGTCGTATACTACAATCGTGCACAACAGTCGTTTATTTGCAATGTATACGTTGATCGTATTTGAACGTATGGCATCGTGTACGTCCATCGTATACGATCGTCGTATATGATGACCGTTTCTAGACGTATTTCGTCGTATACGATCGTTTACGATCGTGCTTTTTTGACCTGGACATTATCAATACATTTAACACGAGAACTTAAAGGAAATATAAAGATATTGCCAACAATCAGCTTCTTTCTTTCTCAATCAGAGGAAGACAAAGGTAAATCAATTTATGTCGTACATTCTAAAAAAAAGTATTATCGGAGACTTATAGAAGGTTCGCGAGTTTGTCACTTTATGAAACCTTTTATACACACTAATTTAAAATGTGTCGCAAGTGTCGTGTTTTGCGACACATTGTATGACACATTAGAGTGCGACACAAGGAGCTCACTGCGACACATTTTCTCCAGCAGGACCACGACACATGTCGTACGACACATGCGACACATTTTCTATTGGTCCTTTTGGAAAATCATATTTCGATGTTTTTTTTTTCAATTTAATTCCATTTAATTATTCCTATTCTGAAAATTCAAGCTGGTCAGATCCTGGGATCTGTCCAATCTCGAGTTGATCTGATTTGTATCAGACCGCTTCAGAGTAGTCCTCTCACGATCATAGATCGAGGTTGGCATTTTCTTGATAAAAAAAATAATCGAGAAATAATATAGAAAATAAAAATAATTTGAAATTTCTTTTTCTATGTTAAACCACGTTGCTTATATATGACCATGTGTGCATAATAAAACGGTGAACGAATAGTCAGCAGACAGAACGCTACAAATTCGTATACGACACATTTTTCTACTGGAGTGTGCGACACAATAATTCACGACATATAAACGCGACACATTTTTATTTAGTGTGCACATATAACGATACTCATACATCTATATCTCAATTTATATCGACTAAAATACTCCAAACAAGACTGAGATTTTTAGAGCATAAATATAGAAGTAATGATATATTTATATCATAATTTAAATCGACTGAGATTTTCAAAACAAGACTTAGATTTCTCCATCCTAGATATAGAAATAATGATATTGTTATATTTTAATCTGTATCGACTGAGCAAAATTAGATTTAGGTATAGAAGCAATGATATATCTGTATCTCAATTTATATCACTTGAGCATGATGGTTTCGCCACATATGGATGCGGAGGTATCGGTAAATATATATTTTATCTATTGTTTTGTTGGATTTTAGGATGTGCAGATGAAAAAGTTTGTGAACCACCAGCAGTATTTATTCGATATGATTGTAAAACACATTATACTAATTTGGGTATCGAATGGGTTAATTTGAACTGGGATTGTACACTAGCATACCTGTATATTGATTTAAATGATAGAGATCAACAAGAATATAAATGGAAAATGCAACATAACAACATTGATTTGGCGAAAAGTCAGATGGATCCAAAGTCGATAGAATGGGAAGAATTTCATAACACATTAGGTAAAAGATTGTATTGTTTTTCTTTAGTTCCAAAGGTGTTATATATTGTAAGAGAAAATAAGTTTTAAATTGTTTTTCACTATGTTTTTTTATCTTTAGTTTATAAGGGAGAGATAATAATGTTCTAAAGTTTGGTATTTTTTATTATCGTTCTTTGATTTAGAAATAGAGCAGAAATGTGTAAATTATGTTGCTTGAGTTATTCGAGTTATATTTAGATAACTGTAAGAAATTTTTGGCGAGAGAAACTACAATTGCTTGTGGAAAGGTTTTAAATAGTATTTCATCAAAGAATATTCTAGTCTTTACTATCTAAAGTCTCAATTAACTAAAAAAATTTCGTTTGTTTTTTTAAGATTATATTGAAAAAAAGATCAATGTTAGATTATTGGGTAATTCATCGAGGTACGTATGAAAAGTCGATTTAAATTCTTCTTCTGATGATGCATGTGAATGACTAAGTCTAGATAGAGGATATGTTAAGCAGGTTGAGATAACTTACATCCCAAACTCATTTTATTTATTGTCCATACTATCCATACGAATGAAAAATTAGTTCAATTGACAATGTTGACAATGGAAGAATGAATTTTCGTGAACAAAGTTGGATACATCCGAAACAATCTTTAAAATAATAAAATACCGTTTCCGTATATATTTATTTAAAAAAACATGTTTAAATAAGTTTTGTGAGTGTCATAAGGTCCAGTTTTAGAGTTTATAAAACTGCTAAAATATATTAAATGTTTTTAGATGTTTTGCTGTTTGAAAATGTTTAGCACACAAAGATACTTGTTTAGAATTTCATCGAAATTAACATACGTGACTGTACCAAATCCCCTTCTCTTGTGGAGGGACAATTGCTTACTAAAAGTCATTTTTATAACCATTGACATAAACGATTTAGAAGAGAAATCTTTTATGCATTTTTTGAGACCTGCCCAGACTCTAAGTGACGAACAGAGACAGAAAATCTCAAAATACTATCAAAATGTAAAAAAAAAAAAGAAATAGGTCTATCCCCAAAAATCGAAAGATTGTGTCCTTCAGCATTTTCAGAGGTACGTCGAAAAAGTCTAATGCTTTGGATTTAGAAGTTTCTCGATATAATCCATTGTTTGAGCTAAAAAAAGTCCAAGAAAAATTGTCAGTGATTGATTCTATATAAGTTTAGTCAGTCTTCTAGCGGATCTTCTCTTAAGATTTTATCTCGTACGTTTTATTTCTTTCTAAAATAACTTTCATAGAAATAAATGGGAGAAAATAATAAACAATTGATTTTCTCTGAAGATTTTTCTTTTTCTTTTTTTTAGCAACATCGGATCCATTTCATTTACTCAAGAAATTTCAAATAATGAGCTTGATGATATATTAGTATTATCTGACGATCGACTTATCGTAGTTAACTTTATTGCTACATGGTTTGAAAGATGCTGTTCTTTTCTTTAATCATTAAATAAATGATTTCTTTTAGGTGTAATTCATATCAAGATATCACTTCATATATGGATTGTTTAAGTGTTCAATATTCAAATGTTCTTTTTCTTAAAGCTAATATTGAAAAATGTTCGGTAAAACTTTATTAATTTTTATTTCAAAATAGTAAATATTTTCTTTTTCTTTTTATAGAGTGACGTTCTCAAATATTGAATTGATGATAAGCCCACATTTCTCTTTTTTCAATATGAAACAGAAATTGGTCGTTTACAATCTATTAATAAAGAGACAATTGAAGAAACAATTAAAAAATATAATAAAGAGGTACTATTGCAGAATAGTCAGACTACCACAGTTTGAGATAGATGGTTCCTTTTAATAAATTTTCATTGATATATCCTTTATTCAAACGATAGTTTTTTCTATTCATTTATTTATTAAAAACTATACTGGTTCGATAGAATTTCACATGTGACCTTGTTAATAAATTCAGACATTATAGATATTGCGTTACTTGTATTCCTAATCCATTCTAATTTAGATATGTAATCGAAAAGAAAGAATCGTTAAAATGAAAATTTATTAGAGTAGAGTGGGGTAATTGCATAAAAAAAATCAGTCTTTGCACTTGTACCTATCATAACTCAGTCATTTTTTGGAATTTTTTTCTACTTTTTCTTCAGACGTGTAGAGAAATTTCAGCTCTACAAGTTCATCTAAAAATTATCAAGAATTAATTGCTCGAAGTTGTTCAATCACTTTTTTTCTGGTAGCTCCTACAAGTTTTATGCAATTACCCCACATGGGGTAATTGCATAAACATACAGAATGAGTGGGGTAATTGCAAACACCTATGTAAAATTGTATCCACTTTGTTGTTTCAATTTTTCATTTTCTTAGTATTACTACTTTAAACTTTTAGGGTACATGGAGGCAGTGGAAAAGCCAATACAACCGTTTTATTGACTATTGGTGCTGATGGCACATGTCTTCCTCCTTATATTATATACAAATCATTAAGATTGTATGATAAATGGTGTCCGAAAAATGTTATACCTGGTGCAGTCTTCAATGGTACTGAATCAGGATGGATCGATGAAAATTGCTTTTACGACTATCTTTCGAAGTTATTCATTCCAAAAACTGGTCATTTTCCACGCCCATTATTTTTAATAATCGATAATCATTCTACACATTTATCAATCAAAACGGCTAAGCTAGCCATCCAACATGAGATTCATATATTATGTTTACCACCACGTTCTACCCATATGCTCAAACCATTGGACATATATACACTTAAGTACGTGAAAACTCAATGGAGATCATTGTTATGGGAATTTAACAAATCATCACGAAACAGAGCACTTGATAAGCCTGATTTTGTCAAATTATTTTCAAAACTTTATGACTATGCATTATTACCTGCTCATTGCGCACCATCGTTTGCATGAGCAGGTATTTATCCCATGTGAAAGCCAAACGCAGACTACACGCGTTTAAACGCGTTTATAAACGCGTTCAGACGCTGTTACGGTTAAAACCTCGAATGCAACGCGTTCAGACGCATCTATGAGATGCGCCTGAACGCACTTGCACCTATGATCGCGCTTAGACTCGTTTCATAGATGCGTCTGAACGCGGTTGTACCAATGATCGCGTTTAGACGCAACCAAAATCAAAACGCGTTTACTTGTTTTTAGTACAAAACGCTACTAAACGCGTTTGAAGTACTGATCGGGTTTACTCGCGTTTCAAAAACGCATCTAGATGCACCTGCAACAGGAACAAGTTTTACAGTTGTAATAGTTAAAACGTGATTGGCGGATGGTAAACGTATAATCGTGTGCAGAAGTGTTAGGAGTGACATCTTTCTCTATGTTTTTTCTTTCATGTTACTTTTGTTCGTGGTCTTTCTTCTCCTTTTTCTTTCTTCATTTTTGATATTATATATGTGCGTGCATAACTATTGTACGGGGACACTTTTTCTTTAATAAAATAGAAGAAAGGTCAACATTTATTCAAATCGAACTCCAAGTGCAAAACATAACCCAACAAGAAGTATGTTAGATGTATGAAGATATATGTCTTTTCTACGTGTTTTGTGGAAAATTCGAGTCATCTTCACAAAACATAAGCAACTTACATTGAGTGCTGCATATTGTTTAGGGTGTTGGTGTGGGTGGGTGTGGGTGTGGGTGGCGGGTGTCTGGGTGTGGGTGTTAGCGTGTGTGGGTGGCGGGTGTGAGTGGCGGGTGTGGGTGGGAGTGTGGGTGCGGGTGCGGGTGTGATTGTAGGTGTGGGTGCGGGTGCGGGTGTGATTGTAGGTGTGGGTGTGGGTGTGTGGGGTGTGGGTGTTGGCGTGTGTGTGGGTGTGGATATGAAAAAGAGGAAGATTAACATCCATACACGCACACCCACATCCTTTCACCCACACTCTAACTATTACTATTCATGTTCAGACGTACCTAATATTAAAAAATGATCGTTATATTATTCAGTTTTGATTGCAGTTCTAATCCAAGTAGATGATTGAATTGCAAAGAAGATCATTTTATATAACAGAGTATTGTATTCGACTATTATTTCTGAAAAACAGCTATTGTATCTTCGTGTATGTTTATGGGTATATGCTTCTCGTTTTTATCAATCTGAAATTGTCTTGCACAAAAACACATGGGTTCTCTACAATAGCATTCCTATGTCGTCGCAGGAAGTGAATATTTTAATAAAACAGATGTAGAAAATTGTATGCATGGTTTTTCACAACGAGTCGATATGTATTTACGCGCATCTTATAAGCTTTCACGTTTTTCATGTAAAGATTGGAGCAATTTGATTTCAGTGAGAAAGAAATAACTATATGACGAAGAAAACATCTAACTGCAGGCAAAGAACAATGTGTACACTCTTAAATGACAGAAATTTGCATATCGTCGTAGCATCGATTCTATGATCTGCTTGCATTTATATGCTTAATTAAGCATAGTTTTAGTCATTTTTCAGGTATATGCCAGTAAAACTTTGGCATTTACATGCAAGTCATATGTCTTACATGAATATTCAAGAGTGTTCTATACAATTATAGACAAACACAAGAATCATGAACAGTTTCGCATGTTTCTGTTAAAAACTTGTATATCCATGCATGTGGTATTGCCTTACATTTATGTACAATAATGAAGATGATCTACACTCGCTTGAATTTTCATGCCTAACATGGAATGATAGTAAAAAATTGAATTTCTGAAAATATGATATTCCTTCTATCAAAATATACGCTTTCATCATTTGGATGATATTGATTTGTTGATGCAGTAAACGATAAATTAATTGACTTCTGACATCTTGATTGTGTCTTTTAAAATTCTTTAACTTGCAATGGAACTTAGATTACTTCAACGTTTTTTTCATGGCACATATTCGACAAACGCGATTGAAAACAATACATAATTTGAATATGTTTCATTATGTTTATCGAATTGTACTTCATATATATTTTTTTTGTTTGTTTTTCATTACCGTCCTATTTATAGATTGAATCAATTTTAGATTTTTTTCCCATTTTCAAAACCCTTGTTTGTTATATTCGAGTAAAGGTTTATTTAATGCATTGATTAATTTTGCGAAACAATGTCTATAAAAAAATTTAGTTTCTTCTTAAAATGTTGTTGGCGATGGAGTTTTGAGTGAAGTGTGAGTGTGACTTTGGCTGTGGATTTTATCTCAGTTTAACTGCATCACCCACCAATACCCACACCCTTAAGGTCCATGGTTAAAGAACACCGGTAGATGTCATATATTTGTAGTTCTTTGAAAGTAGGTAACTTAACTTTCACTTCTTTTGACTCGTCTTCAACTTCACCTGTGAGAAGTTTCTTTTCTATTCTTATCTTTTCTTCTTTTCTGTGATGTATGCTTTTTTCTTTTGACGCAGTTATGGACGTATGCAGATTGGTTTACGCACGCAGAAATATACTGCTCACTTAAATAACCTGCATTTATAAGTGAGTTTTTCAACTTTCACAATATTCTGACGTCATTGGTTGCAAAAGGCGCAGTATTCATTCTTCAAATTGCGCAATTCGACAAAGAACTTTGCTCCCCAGATCATGGTCGACTTTATTTTCATCAACGGTTCTCCTGGTGCTGGCAAATCTTCTGTTTGTGAACTCATTCAGCGGAATAAATCATGGCCTTCGATTGATTTTGGATGTCTTCGTGTCTTTCACTTGGATAGAGAATGGTCAAACGTCTCAGCTGAAGAAGAACAAATGTCTTTCGAGAACTTAGTGTTCATTCTAAAGAATTATTATCGATATGGATATAAGAACGTTCTAATTAATGATCTAACAGATGCGAAAATACAGCAATTACCAAACTATTTATCGCACGACGAATTCAAATATCTAATTGTGACTCTGACTGTGAGCGACGATGAAGTTTTGAAACAACGTGTTCTGGAACCAACGCGAGATAGTGGATTTCGTAATTTTGAACGTGCTATTGAATGGAATGGAGTTTTGAAAATGAGACAATTGTATAGGAATGAAGTCAGACTAGATAATACGAAGATGACAGTGAAGGAAACAGCTGATCAAGTTTTGGAGATTGTGGACCAGTTTCTACAGAAAAGTTAACTAAAAAGAAGATTTCAAAAGTCCTACGGATAACTATCGAACGGAAATCATTTTGACTTTATGTCAAAGTATGTTGTACACGACTTTTTCAGCATTTTAAAAATATACTTGATTTTCTTTGTCGGTCCAAATAGAAATTAGTTTCTTTTTACTTGCAATCTTTTATCAAGATACTGCTGCGAATTTCAGATCGAAAAGTTGTGATTGACCGAGAAGAACAAGATTTCTTCGAACTTAGACTTCGCAACTCATAATTAACCGCACAACGCTTGCTATGTCACTGCTTTTAAAGATTGACGAATAAACCTGAAGCGAGAGCCTGATCAGGTGTTGGGACACTCTATTTGAGTAAACATGCGAGATATCAGTTAATTGAGTATGCAAAATGTTTGTTTTATTTGTAAAATAAGAAAGCATTATCCATTTCATGCTTTTTAATTCAGTAGATAGCTGTATCGCAATTTTCTATCATTATGAAAAACAAACAAATTACATTCACTTGAAGAATTGAGCCAAATCATTCAATTAGCTTATATAAAAGTTTTGAATTAAAAATCGATATGAGCAATGTGTCTGTTGACATCCGATGGAAAAGATTGTTTGAGAACGACATTAATGGCTCTCAATGAATTAGCAATTAAGTTCAAAATATAACAGAAACCTTCCAGGGAAAAAAATTTCGTTGATGACACCAGTACTATCTCGAAAGAAGTCTAGCTTGAGTTTCCAGCTAGAAATGAACTCAGAGTTTAACTCATCAGATGTGATAACGAAGAAAATCTTGTTGTCAAATTATTCTGCAAGAAGAGCGAGAATAGTTTGAAATATTCGTTGTTCGTGTTAGAAGAGCTTCAATTGCATTCTCTTAGATAAACAGTAATATTAGTACACATTATTCTTTCATTCAATGTGTGACTTCATAGATGCATTTTGGCTCAATTCGAAATGAAGTTCACTTTATTTTTTGATTTTTCCACTTGCTTTTATTGCGAGTGGTATATTTCAGCGTTTTTGCAAGACACTTACTCGCGTGAGTAGTTAATGAAAGTGAACAGACAAAGCTGCATGCTTATATTTCTTGTAAGATGTTGGACATATTCAAATAACGTGAAAGAACATGAACCAAGCACCTTCATATATTGACTAAAAAGGACATTACAACAACTGATACATATTTTAGTTCTTTTAATTATATCATTAGTATATTCTGATGAGACATTTTTTTCCCACAAAACAAACGCATCTGTGCTATTTGCTACTATATTTGCATCAGTCTATGCGGGTGAGTGGTGTGGGAGGGTGTGAGTTTACACACTTACACCCACACCCTGTTTAACTGTCCAATCTATCTCAGAATTAGCTAATCGAGATCATTGACAGAAGTCTGCTGAGAACCATCTTTGAAAGCATTGACAAATCTTGTCGATTGTTGGTCATTCTTAGTTGTGTTATCCTTAAATCGCGATGGCTATTTCAGTACTTTATTAAATGCATTTTAAAATCTAGAAATGCACTAGGACCTGAATTGAAGAAAAAATTTTAAGAAAACTAGAAAAAAAATTTGACGCGCGCGTCAATAGATTTACTTGCTGCTACCAAGATAAAAAAGTCGAACTTTTAGTGTGAATGTTAGTATTTAAAAAAAATAAAAATAAGTCAATTGTCCATGATTATTTATGAACAATACACAGTATTTTGTATTCATCTCTCGTTTCTTCCGTATTGCTTTCAAAATTTGGGAAAGATAAATATTTGCGACATGGAAGCACATGGCCAATAATTTTACTATCAGTTGTACACCCAATGTAGACCTCTACCGGATCGTCATCCCAATATTTAGTTTCAAATACATTGTCTGGTATCTGTCCTTTTTTACTCGGTAGCCACACTAATTTTAAGCCAGTTGGATTCGTTAGTATTGCTAGTTTACACTTGCCGACATCTGCTTTGATTGCTTGAGGATATTGAGAGTAGAAAATAGCTGTTATGCACTTGTCTTAACTGTCTACACTATGGTGTTTTACATAACCACGTACTAAAGAGCCATAAGAATCATGATTACCATACCCTTGTAAATCGACCAGACCAATATACATTTGTTTCATCGGTGATGAACCATCATCACTGGCATCAACAAGAACAGCATCAGATGGAAACTCTTCGCTCGACGAGATTATTTTCCACAAGAGATTAGGACTCTCTAAAGCGAAAGAAGTAGCTCTTGATCTGATACGATCGCTAGCCAACACAATACTTACCTGTATTTGCGCACATTTTTTTCATATGTATTGAAAGTGGTAGTTACTTTTGGTGGTGTGATGATATGTAACTGTAAATATCACTGCAGCAATATTTGCTTATTTATTCAAGCGCAACGAAAAAAAATAACGCTATCGAGTTGTTAATGATGCTCTATCTTACATTACTACATGCACGCTTTATCCGTTCACAGTATACACTTTAAAGTAGGCACGTAAGTAACGGTATTATTTTTCTCTTATTTATATTTGATTTAAAATAAAATAAAATATAAGTAGCATCTTTTCATCTTGAGGATGTGAGTTTATAGTGTGATACAGCTGCCAAAATCGAGATGTCATCACGACTAAAGGAATCATCAGTTGGTTTTAATTACTATGCATATTTGTATGATTACGAATATCCAACACTATATATACATTCTACTCTGCTATGACAACAAATTATATGAATCATCTATTGCATTGTGGCAGTTATTCTATTTTTTTTTGGTTTGGACTGTTTATTTTTACGCTCACAAGCGCTTCTATGAGGACATATAAAGATACTTAAAAATCACAACAGGACGAACGTAGGCAATGTGAGCACAGTTTCATCGATATGACACTAGTCTACAATGTGACACTTTGGACAACATGAACAAAAAAGATAACGAAAACTGACAAAAAAGAAATATAAAGAAGAAGAAAAGAGTACGAAAACAAGACAGAAAGAATATGGGAAAAGGAATAAAGATAAACGAATCAAAAGAAAAAAAACGACGAGAATGGAAGATAAAAAGAGGCACATAGATGCATATGGAGGCGTTTAGCCAACAATATCAATCCACTTAAGAAGAAGAAACTCATGTATCTCTTTCAATTTTTTCACTCTTAACATTCGAAAGAAATGATCAAGATAATCTCCTTGATTTTTTTGAAATCGTCCCACAAAAATAGAAAAAATCGAATGATTCTTCATTTGTCATCGAGAACAAATTCTGTTTTGACACATAGGAACACCAGTGCACCAATCTCATTCAGAGTCGAAACTATTGTCTCAAGATATCTTGATAAATTTTTCACAGAACAGCGAATAGAGGAAAAGCCAGACGAGATGCGAAAAAGCATGTTCATAATACTGATGTTGATAATGATTTTCTCGCTTTTAATCATTTCAGTTTTCCAAAAGAGTACTGAACGCTGTGTACACCTTTCTCAATGGTCGGTATTAATGACAGCTTACTAGTTCAATTCAAACTTCGTAGTCGCCCTATATTTCCTATATATTCGACAAAGTCTACATTCTTTTTAAATGAAATAAATTTTAACAAGGCAAAGCACACATGCTTCTTTACAGATTGCCATAGTTTCCACAGTAAGAAAAGAACAGAAGCTAGTGACATTATATTCATATTTTATTCATGTTCACCGACATATTTATTTTTAGGATTGGCTCCTTTTTATCTGAATTGTCTTGTTAAAGATGACTAATGTGAAAGACTTTATATTGACTTCTACAAAAGATTATGTGACAATTATTATAGATTAAATACTTACTTTTATAAAGAGTATAGAATTATCTTTTGATTTTGATTTGTTTTCAATGGTGTTCATTTGAAAATAGAACCTTATGCCAAAGGACACAAAGTTTGATCAAGCGGGGTTGAAACGAATAGATAATTATGGAACTCAAGTGCACAAATGGATGTGAATATGTAAGAATACAAAGACATTACCCACACCCTTTATCAGCAACTATGAAATATACCATTATTGTGGTAGTTGATCTCACTCTTCACTCTACAGATATGTACGATAAATCTACACCTGATAAAGTCATAAGATATTCATCTAAACATATAATGAATAACGTATTACCAAATGGTTTTGCTTTTTCACGATCTTTACTTGTTGAAATAAATGACGAGAAATAAAATACTTTATCTTTTTTCATATATTCTTCACGTTGTTCATCCGTTAGTCTAACATCACGGTAAACATGAAAGAAACTTCATCCTATTTGGTTTTGACTTAAAGATTCTGTTAATAGAAAACAGAATGAATATAAAGTTTTTATCGGTTTATGTATAATACTTAAAGAATTATGAAGAACGAAGTTAATTAGTTTGCACCAAAAACATTCTTTTCACATAGGAAGACACATGTCTGACCAGTTTCATTTGAAAGTCTAATAGAACAAGTGTCTTCTTTAATACTATTAACAAGTGCAAACGGTCTAACAGGACGTAAGTGTTCATGTTCACTTTTTGCTTGATATATCTTAATAAGAGTGGTATCTTCTCTCAAAATTCCATTAGCAGTTTCTTCAATAATATCAGCATGCGTTTTTATTGATCTTTTTAGTTCATAATTAAAATAGGTTCTAGGAAAATCAGAACCATCGATTGATTCAATGAGACGAATAAAGTAGTCTTCAGTATCGGTCGTAGAAGATGGTATCGACGACAATGCTATAGGTAGTAAAAATCGATGTTCTCCTAGGTGGGTGTTACTGCTACGATGACTTTCATGTCTTATTAGTCGTTGTTTCTGTTCATCAAGCTTATTGTAATGAACATCATATTTTAAGCAAACAATACGATTATCATCTTGTTCAACTTGTGATCTGTTTTCTTTTTTAGCATCTTCAATAATTTCATTTTCAACATCTATATACTTGATCAATTGTTCATTAAATTCTTCATATGACCGTAGATTATTAGCAGAACTACAATATCATTGAGAATAATATGGACGTTGAATTCGAATAGAAGTAGTAGTGATAGCCATTTTAATTTTTCTTTAGTTTTGTGATGAATGTAAATAATATTTTTTTCGAAGTTTTTCTAAAGAAATTCTGATTTACCTTTCTTCTAAATAGAAAAATAAAATGTCGCAATACTGTATAACTTGCATCGTGTGTGGAGATAACTTCAAAGTAATTTAAAAAAAAAGAAATCAGAAATTTTCTTCGTGTGTTTTTTCTATTGCTGCTCGTATTGTGATGGAGAGAAAATGAAAAAGAATGAGAGCAAGAAAGTGTACATTTTTTGTTTCCAGGACATATTGTTTTGTGCTATAGTGTTTTCATTCATTCTGTATATGATAGTCTTTTTGAGTTAAATTATCCGTTTGTCAGTTAACATACCAACAAAGATTTCATCATACGAATTTCCCGTTTCTTATATTTATCAGACGAATTCATTTGCTTAGATGTATTTCGATTCCAACCTATATTACATAACTCAATTATTGAGAATAATTATACATTAAATCAACCAATTTTATGTAATAAGTGTATTTGAATTTTTGACCTCACTTTTGCATCGAACATCCGAAACTATTTTATCTGTATGACTTCTTACTGTTCAACGCCTATTCTAAAGTCAAAAATTCAAAATAGATTTATTAATGCTTTACTATTAAAAACTATGTACTTTTCTTGATTAATTGGGGGTAAGATGCTTTTTCATGTAACACACATATATATATAATCGTCAAATAAAGAACTCTTGAAGTAAATATGAAATTTTTATAAACCATTGCAGATACCATTCAGAACGGATTATGTAACAACTTTGAACGTTCATCAACGCTTCAAAAATTTGTTATGTGGGGCACTTTCATGTGTTTTTTAAGAACAAACATGTGAAGAAGTATTTCAACGGCAAAACCAGTGAAGGCTACATTCTCACTAAGTCTCTCATAGAACTTAAGAAAAGGCATACAGCAATCCATTATTTTCATAAATGATGAGAGATATTGCAGTTCGTCCAACACATTAGAACAACGTGATGGAGCGACTGAAAAAAATTCGAAATTTATTTTAGTGACTTTTTCAAAGAAAGCAAATGTCATCATTGTATTCGAATAATAACAAAACCTCAATTCAATAACTTTGACTATTGTATGTAAAAATTTTAATAGAAAATCATTATAATTATGATCATAAAGAATTCTTCATTAAAGAATCAATATATACATATTTAAAAATGTCACTCAAATCACAGGCAGCAGTTTCTTTTCTTGTGTTCTAGTCTTGCTCAACTCACGTTGAGTGAATTGTCGTCAATCCATGCGTCGGCGTGACCTCCATATTGGAGAACAAATATCATTACATAATCGATTGCCCGCGTGCCCACAGGAAGAGACCAATTACTTTGTACAAGGCACCAAGCTGATACACATGCTATTGGACCAGTAGTTACATTAGATATAGTACTATTTGTAGCCGAACGAAAAATGAGAGTTACTTGAGCAGTATCAGGTGGGGATGTGTTTACGCTCTTCTCCCGAAATGAAACCGATGCATACAATGAACCTGAATCAAGTTGTGCAGTTGAAAATATGCTTGTTAAAGATACTTGTTGACTCAAAGATCCACCAAATTCTCCATAAAAATCATAGGAACCATTGTACGGAGGAGTACTACCAGCGTTGGCTGTTCCATTATCAAGTATGGGCGAAGAACTGCTGCTAGAACTCCATGGACTTATTGTACCAGACTCTCCTCCAGGATTTAACAGAAAAACTGGTACTGCAGTTGTTGTGGTCGTCGTTTGTGTTGCTATAAGATAAGACACATAAACATCAACATCATTTGTTGAAGAAAAAATAATTATCAAAACTTATTCGATAAACATCATACTTTTCGACTAGATCGCAAGAAAAGGTTTATATATCGGTTTTGCACAAAACTATAGATTACTAGTAGAATACAAGAAAACTCATATAGTTTTTATCCATGAACATGAGTTGGAATAACTGAAGACTTCTAAAATTGTTATCAAAACCTTTGAGAATTGTTATCCAGAATATTTTAATTTTAAGAACCGCTAGCTCGGTTATTGGGTGTCTCATAATAATAGCACGCTTTTTATTTTGCATGTATCTCACTACAGTTAAATGATGCACAAACCTTGATGACAAAGATCTCCTTGATTTGTTTGAATAATTTCTTAAATAGCTAAAAGTGAAAATCTGCGGGATGTTGTTATTTCTCAATATAAATATTTGTTTCCTAATCAAAAACAATCGATATATCTAATTTTTTCGATTACTTTTTTTGGCACTATTGCCATTCATTAAGAAAATAACAGATGTGTCTTACATCCTCTTGTGTGATTAAAACCAAAATTAATTGTAATTCTTATTTCGATATCATTTCTAGCTAAATTTGAATTCTTTGACAGTGATTAGATGCTTTAGTTATTCTCATCTTAACAAATTTTGGTTTCACTCACACAATCGCATGTAAGACACATTTGTAGTTTTCTCAATAAAGTCTTGCTGTTTATGACTGAAACTCAGATAGTAAACCGAACAACAAGAGATGTATCTATAATATAAACATGAAACAGATGATAATAGAGCCAAAAATTAATCGAAAAAATTAGATGTGTATCGATTACTTTTGACTAGGACAATAAATATTTATATTCGATAACAACAACATCACGCATATATTTACTTTTAGACATGTAAGAAATTATTCAAACAAATCAAAGAGATCTGTTTTATCAGTTTTCGTAGAGAATTTAATGGGGAGTCTTTAAAAAAAAACATTAAGGTTATATCATTTAACTGTGATGAGATACAGGCAAAATAAAAAGCATGGAATTATTATAGGACACCCGAAGCGTTTTATTTTTCTTATTTGAAACTAATTCATTCGGCAGTTAATATATTTCAAAAACTCAATATCCAACTTCTGCACTTGTACAGAGTATAAATTATTTTTATGCAACAACAGACGAAAAATGTTGTATTGACTAGTATTTGGATCTGTTTTTAGATATCTTGTTAAAATATTTCGATGAAGTCTAGACATTTTAAGAAAAATGCATGTCGAAATTTTTGATAGATTCAATGATTTTTCATATATCTTTCATCGAAATCAATGATCTTCTCCTTAGTGTGTACATCAGAAACCCTTACTTGAACTTGTGCTGGTAGATACCGATGTAGTAGTTTCCGTTGTAGTGGTGATGCTGGTAGAAGCTAAATTTTAATAGTGCACAGTATTCATAGATTAGACGATGAAGAATTATTTACGGGCGTCACTCATAGTCAAAAATCATCAAAAAGTTTTATTTTACCAAGTAAATGTCCCATTTATCAAGCGTTATCAACAAAGTATACTAAAAACCAGATTCTCAAGAAATAAATTAGTCATTTTTTTTCTGGAAGTGTTGTGTCACTAATCTTAATGCTTTCTGTAGAAAATGATCGATATACTATTGTAAGTATAAGCGCATGTCATATTTTAAGTATCAAACATCAAAAACTGATAGAAACTCATCATTTTGAAATCAAAAATAATTATTAATTTACATATTAATGTTAGAATATTCATAGATGTGAACTTAAAAGCTGTGGTTGATGTCGTAGTCGTTCAGAGTATTGCTAAAAATCACAAAAAATTACTAATGTTGTTACAGGCTTCGCCTTCACATTGTGTTTTTCTTCTTTCCATTTACCTAGATATGATATTATTCCTTTCTTTTTGCAAGATCATCTCTTTGTTGTATTCGATTCTCTTTCGTTAGCCCTAGATGGATGGGATCAATATATATACTCGCGTTTTCTTTCATCTAGTTGGTTCGTTATATAGCTTAGTTGTTATGCGTGTATGTGTAAGTGAAATGCATGAAGATGTAAGTGTGTCTGAGGAGATTTTTGATTTAGTAAAAATGAATGGAATAAGATTTATTTCATCTTTTTCCTTCAGCAAATATCCAGTAATACGACTCAGTCTGTTTTACTTACTTGAGATTGTTGTTGTGATTATATTCTGGTTCATTATAGTAAAAACCAAAGCCATAGCAATGGCAGAAAGCAGTAAGACAGTACTAATAGCTGTTATAAAGCAACAGATGCATGGATGACAACAGCATATTCTAGCGCCACGTCTACGTATAGAAATACAATACTTATAATAAATATCTATCGATCACATCAGTGATATTATAATATATATGTATTACTTTAATCTTTTCGAATAATTCTTTTTCTTCTTCTTCTCTCCCGTAATTGCCATCCAATCTGCTGTGTTGTAATGATTACTTTGAGTCTTTCCATCACTTCCTGAAGACCAAGCGTTTTTCTATAAAAATATTCTTCTTTTAACAATAAATATATCAAATGCTGATTGATTTTTCATTAAAAAAAAATATTTTTTTATGTGGTGGATATGCGCTAGCACGGAACATCCATGATTTTAGAATCATGACTTCGACGACCTAGATGTCTTGCAGTTGTGACAAAACTGGAAGATGTAAGACTTTGCATCGATGCATATCAGTCTGTATTCACTAACAGTTTTGGTATTATCTGGTCAAAATTTATGCTTCTTAGGACAGTCGAATATGGAAATAATGTAGTACTCAATGTACAGGGTTTCTTGTACAGTTCTTCATCTCGTATACACATAAATCAACGAAGAAAAAAGTTATCCCTGTTAACTTTTTCCTTAGGCCGTACACCCTTTATTTAGTCCCTTATGTTATTCCAGTTTCTTGAATTCCTCATCTTCTTCTAATGCCTTTGGTTCTTTTAAAGAGTTATGGTGTGAATGAGGGGAGGGGGCGGAGGTAGTAACAGTTATGATAGCTGTCTCTGCTTCACCCTTACCCCTGCTCTTAACTTCACCTTATACAGCGACTAAAAGGATATAAGAGGCATGAAGGGCTAAAAGAACTTAGAGGAGTCTGTCTTGTCTGATAGAAAAGTAAACCAAGATAAAGTTTGCTTTTCGTAGAACTCTCGATGTCGCATAATCATTGCACGCTTTTTATTTTGCTTGTATCTCAATACAGTTAAATGATATAGCCTTGATGTTTTTTTTTCAAAAAGATGCACCATTAAATTCTTTACAAAAAAAACTGGTGAAAAGATCTCTTTGATTTGTTTGAACAATTTCTGAAATGGACAAAAGTGAAATTACTTTCTCGCACTATTTTCATCTAGTCTTATATGTATATCATAAATACACGTCTTGTTGCTCTATGTATTTTTTGAGTTCCTCTATAACCGGCAAGAACGGAATGAGAAAACTACAAATATGTCTTGTGTACTCTTGTACGTCTGGAACCAAAATTTATTGTAATGCTTATTTCGATATCATTTCCAAATGAATTTCAATTCTTCGACAGCAATTGGATGCTTTAGCTATTCTCATCTTTAACAAATTTTTGTTTCAGCCACAAAAGAGTACATAAGACATATTTATGGTTTTCTCAATAAATTCTTACTGTTTGTGGCTAAAACTTACAGAGATATATCTATGGAATAAACATGGAACAGATGATAATAGTGCTAAAACCTAATCGAAAAAATTAGATGTATGAATTATTTTTGACTAAAGAATAAATATTCATGTTGGAAAATAGCAACATCATGCAGATCTTCACTTTTAGCCATTCAAGAAATTAGTCAAATAAACCAAACAGATCTATTTCATCAAGTTTGCAAAGAATTTAATGGTCAATCTTTAATAAAAAAAACATCAAGGTTATATTATTTAACTGTGGTGAGATACAGGTAAAATAAAAAGCGTGCAATTAATTACAGAATGTCCGATGTATGCATCCGTCGGGACCAGATTTTCTTTTAATTCATATTTTAATAGAGGTAACTTACTCTGAAATTTGTGTCACTTTCGATTGTTAAGTTAAATGCTCTGTTGCTGTTACTTCCACTCTGATTGAATGTAGTACTTCCCTATAAGAACATAAAAGCAA